TCCGGGACTACTAGACAAAGCATTCTTCGCTGATTCATGGGGATTACTATGATGATGTATGTTCTTTGAGAGGCTTGGATCTTAGATCTGCATCGTTGGCATCTAAAATCATGCGTAAGCCCTGGTGTATGGGACAACTAGTGGAAAGGAAGAGACTGAGGGAAGAAAAAAGAAAGGAAGGGACGGAGGATGGGAGGGAGGCTAGGATGGCAGTAGGACTGGAGAGAGGGCTCCAAGGTTAAGAGCACTGGCTGCTCTTGTAGAAGACCTGGGTTCAGTTCCCAGCACCCACATCGTGGCTAATACCCATCCTTAACTCCACTTCCAGGGGATTCAAAGCCTTCTTCTGGCCTTTGCAGGCACCAGGCTGTCACATGGTACACTTACATCCATGTATGTACTCACACACATAAAATAAAAATAAAATCTTTTTAAAAAGGAAAGGAAGGAGAAAGAAAAAAGAGGTGGAAAGGAAGGGAGGGAGGAAGAAACAAAGGGAAGAGGAAGGGAGGGAATGTGGGGCTAGTTCCCTGGCTACCTGAGGGTTGGGGGGCTGCGACCCCCTGGCCTTGGCTCTTCCCAGCTCTGCAGAGCTGGTGGGTCTGGATGGAGCCTGAAAGTCTGTGTTCCTAGCAGGCTGTGGGTGATGCTGCGCCTCCTGGTCTGGGACCACACACTTTGAGAGCCTGGCTAATTGCAACCTGCCAGCCAAATCCAGCCTGCGCCTGTTTGTAAATAAAGTTCCTGTGGAATACAGCCACTCCTCCTGTGTGTTCACATAATGTCTGCTTAACACTCCGCTACAGTAGCAAATGGACAACTGTGACAGAGACCGTATGGCACACACAGCCAAAGATATTCACCACGTGGCCCATGATCAGAAAGAAGTATTCCAATTTCTCCTTCTGAGCCAGGATCCTAATTATAGGCACAGAGCCCTAGCCCCCTGCATTCTCTCACTGCCAGGTATTCTGGGAGCCCTTGCTGCAAGATCCCAGCTCTGCTAAACATTTCGTCATGTTTGCTGAATGGAATGAGCACAGGACTAGTCACCTCTGCTGTTTACCTGGGTCTTTGTAGATCCCAAAACATCTTCTCAGAGGAGAAATATCACTTATGGTCTCACAACGTGTTGGGGACAAACGCAGGTCTTCTATGCTCCCTACCTACCGCACTGTTTGTGCAAGGCAGAATTGGATGGTACTTGGTGTATTGGTAACACATCACCCTCTGTTGTGTCAGTGTCTAGATAGGTGTGCTGGATAGCTTTAGTGTAACTTGACACACCTGGGTTGAGGGAGCCTCAACTGGGGAATTGTCTCCATTGGACTGGCCTGTGGCCATGTCTGTGAGGCATCTTGATTGTTGTGTGATATGGGAGGGCCCAGCCCACTGTGAGTGGTGCCTGTGGGCAGGTGGGCCTGTGTTGCATAAGAAAGTAGGCTGAACGGGGACCAGGGGAGCAAGTCAGTAAGCAGCATTCCTCCACATCCTGTGCTCCAGCTCCTGCCTCCAGGTTCCTGCCCTGAGTTCCTACCTTGGGCTCCCAGATGAACTTTGACCCAGGATGTGTACGCTAAATAAACCCTTTCCTCCCCAAGTTGGTAGTGGTCAGTGTTTTGTCACAGCAATGGAGAAACAAACTAGGACAATAGGGTACCAACAACAGACCACAGAAACTGTTCCGCCCCAATCTTGCTTAGTGAACCAGTGACTTTATTGGGGTTACTTACAGAAGCATAGGTGACTCAATGGTATCTGCTTATGAAAAGCCCATCTCAGCATAAGTGACAGCTCACAGAGGCTGCATGCCTGAACTTAACCTGTAATTACTTGGATTCTTTAAGTTTCGGGAGTTTCCTGAAATCTATATTGCTTACTTCCTGAGCCTTAATGGAATGTTTCAATTGGGTGGAAATAGCTCCACAGATCCACAGAAGGCAAGGGCTTTAATAAGACCCCAACTAAGCATTTATTACACCCCTGATTTCTTTGGACAGGAATTCAAGATGGAGCTGACTGACAGATCTGCTCAGCAGTTTTCAAAGCTTGCTCAGGTGTCCTTTAAGGCTGACCGGGGCAGGAAGACCCACCTCCAAAGGTGCTCGCTACACAGGGGTAGCAAGTTGGTATCAGCCATTGATGAGAGGCCTCTGTTCCTTCCCTGCAGACCTCTACCAAGCTTTGGTGTGTCCTCACAGCATGGCAGCGGACGCCCTAGCAGCAAGAGGCAGACAGCGCCCATCCTGGGTCCTAGCTTCGGGGCACAGAGCATCGTTTGTTTTGCATTCTATTATCAGAGGCAGGTCACAGATCACACTACAATGCATGAAATTCCCAAAGAGGTCAGAAGAGGGCATCATATCTTCTGGAACTGGCATTAAAGACAGTTGTTACCTGACATGTGGATGCCAGGAACTGAACTTAGGTCCTCTGCAAGAGCAGTCAATGTGTTAACTGCTGAGCCATCTCTCCAGCCCCTTTAGGCATATTTTAAAACCCCACCCAGTGTGAGGATCCCCATTTCACTACCTGCTGGAAATATCAGGGTTCTGTGGTATTGCCTCAATGTGTGTCTTTAATTGACCATGAAATGTCAGACTAAACTCTTAAGTAACAACAAAGGAAGCCACAAATTACTAGCACCACCATGGCTATGAATTTCATCCTGCTCCAGAGCACCTGAGAGACTTCATGGTGGTACTGAAGGGTTAGAGGCTCAGAGGGAGACATACACCCTCACAGCATCCTTGAGAGTGGGAACAAGGACCATACGGTTTGAAACCTGCACCCCTCAAGCAATTTGGGTATGTTCCGCCATGGAGCTGGATCCCTAACTACCATTTCTTTATATCCTCATTTCCCAGGTCGGGAAAGGAGAGACCCAAAGAGGCAATGTTCCCTGTTGGGTAGAGCAACAAGGTCCGAACCTCCTGACTGCCCTGGCCCATGGGCTGCGCAGCTCTGCTGTAGCTCATGAAGTCTCTTCAGGGACACGTGGTAGACTGAAGATATGGGGACTGGCACTTCCAGATCTTTATATTAATTCATCTTTACATCCTATCAGCTGTGTTTCCTGGCACCATCTGGTACTAATGTGTGAGAACCAAGTTCATTCTCCCTCCTAGGATCATTCAGATAGCTAGAAGGCCAACACTGGTCTCTCCTTGAGCAGGGCTGACCCTGTGTCTTCAGCAGCAGTGTGTGGATGCCCCCTAGTGGATGAATGGAGATGGTCTCTATCCTTACAGAACAGAAACGAGAAGAGTGGCTGGCTTGCAGAGTCCTTGACTCTGACATCAAGGGAGAGGACACTCTGGGGACAGTGTGTTCCTTAAGGGTTCTCAGGAGGACACACTTTTTTTTTTGATCTTTTTGAGACAGGGTCTCCCTGTAACCCCAGCTGCCCTGGAACTCACTATGTAGACAAGGCTGGCCTTGAACTCACAGATCTACCTACCGGGTGCTGGGATTAAAGGCGTGTATCACCAAGCCCCCAATTTCATGTATTAATAACCTAATTTATTTATTTTTATTTGTTTGTTGAGACAGGGTCTCCCTGTAGCCCCAGTTCACCTGGAACTTGCCATGTAGACCAGGCTGGCCTCAAACTCACAGAGATCCACCTGTCTCTGCCTCCCAAGTGCTGGGATTAAAGGTGTGCACTACCACATCTGGCTTATTTTTAATTATGTATATATGTATGTGTGGGTATGTGCACGTGAGTGCAGGTATCTGCAGAAATTAGAGACATGAGACCATGGGGGACGGGTAAGGAAAAGGCACAGCTACATTCATTGGCTGCCTAAAACAGGCCATGAAGGCTCAGTTAGGAAAGGACTTGTTACACAAGCATGTGGACCTGAGTTCTATTCCCAGATCTCACATAAAACCTGGGCGTGGCTGTTCTTGCTTGTAACACAGTGGTGCTGTGGAGGCTGAGACAGGTGGTTCTTAGGGCTGGCTGGTCAATCGGCCCAGCACAATTTATGAATCCTAGGTCACAGTGAGACACCCTATCTCAAAAAATAGGCGCATGGCTACTGAGGAACAACACCCAAAGTTGACCTCTGGCCTCCACATACACACGTGTATGCACACGTGTACACACGTACACATGCAAAAAATAAGTAAATACAGGTCATGAGCTGCATGTGGTTTTTGCCGTCATTCGTCAACTGTTTTGGAGAGGAACTGAATTGTGTGTCTCACACACTGCATAGTAACTTCATCGGATGCGGGCCTTGGTGCCTCCCACACATCTGTGTCCTGAGCACCTGTGTGGCTAGGCTGCCATCCTCTTTTATTTCCTATTTGTCTCTGTCTAAAATGAACCAGGTTGCAATGGGAGAGGCCGGTAGGTGAAAGTGCTTTGCATACCTTAAAGAAAGCCACTTTAGAAAGGAGAGGCTGTCCCGAGTCACACAGCAATACAGCCAAAGCCCCGTGGACTCCTGAGGCTGCCTCCTGGGATGTGGTATACATACTGACTGCCATGGCTTAGGGATTGTGTGAGTTACTTTTCTTATTGCTGTGACAATATCTGAGAAATAAGGAAGGACTTTAAGATTCTTTGTATTGGGGCTGGAGAGATGGCTCTGCTGTTAAGAGCACTGACTGCTCTTGTAGAAAACCTGGGTTCAGTTCCCTGTACCTACCTGGCAGATAACAACTATCTGTAATGCTGGTTCCAGGAGATCTGATGCCCTCCTCTGGCCTCCACAGGCATCACACTCATGTGGTACATTTTATATCCATGCAGGCAAAACATTCATACACATGAAATAAAAATAAATGAATTCCCCCAAAAGATATTTATTATTTTTAATCTTATGTGTCAGGGGGGCATGTACACTTGAATGTGTCCATGTGTATGCACGCATGTGTGCATATGTGTATGTATGTATTCGAGCAAGTTGAAATGGCCACTTTGACTAATTATGTTTTTCTCTATTCCATTCTTTTTCTTTATTTCCTTTCTTGCCTCTGCCACTTCAAAGGTCTTGGGATTGCTGGTATGGACACTCATCGCTGGAACAGAGTATTTCCGCGTCCCTGCTTTTGGCTGGGTCATGTTTGTAGCTGTCTTTTACTGGGTCCTCACCGTCTTCTTCCTCATCGTCTACATCACCATGACCTACACCAGGATTCCACAGGTGCCCTGGACCACAGTGGTAAGGATACCCCAGGGTCCGTTCCTACCCAGTGGTGGGAAATGGGAAGGCAAGTGTCTTCTTGTGGATCCAGAGTCACCTCTCTGCTCACACAGGGAGGGCTGGTGAACCTGCACAGCCCAAGATCTCTGTATTACCTGGCAGGCCCATAAGCATTCACACAAGAATGTGAAACTAGGCCCCTGCAAGGTCCTGGATTCTGCATGGCCAGAGCAAACCAGTTCTCAGAAAACTGGGTGGAGGCAAGCTGGGTTCTCTCAGGTAGATGCTTGTTCTATTAACAGTGTCCTTACAAACAGTGTCACCTGCAAACAGATCTTCTTCCTTCAAACCCTTCTTAGCCCTTTGCACATAGACGCTCTGATGTGTATGATAGGGGAGGATAGAGCACAAAAGGGGCTGTTTAAACAAACAGGTAGGGGCTGGAGAGATAGTTAAGAGGACTGGCTGCTCTTGTGGAGGACCTGGGTTTGATTCCCAGCATCCACATGGCAGCTCACAACTGTCTGTAACTCCATTTCCATGGGATCTGACACCCTCTTCTGGTCTCCATGTAGTGCATGTACATACATGTAAGAAAAACATTCATACACATAAAATGAATTTTTAAAAAAAACTGGTGGAGTCAGGGGTATAACCAAAGAATGGGAAACCCTGGTTTCCATCTCTAGCACTAAAACAAACAAAAACACAATGATAAGCAGTAGATGGACTAGGGTGTGGCACAGTAATAGAGCACTTGCATGGCATGTTCAAGACCACGAGTTCAAACCTAAGAACCAGCATAAACACCAGTAAAGCAAAACTAAATGAGTGTCCGTCCACTTGGAAATAAGAATAAATGGGTCTGACTCCAGTAAACATACTGCATACGGGATTAACATGGTATATACATAAGTTTGGGGCAAAATAGAGTGCCTTGGCATGTGGGTAGTCTTAAGAGGGCATTGGAAGTGGCCATATTTTTTTTTTAATCCATGACTAGAGTGTAGCTCAGTAGCAAAATACTTACTTAGCGTGTCAGAAGCCCCAGGTTCTATCTTCCACACCATGACCAAAAAATAAAATGACAGACTCCATAGACTGAGGGGACTGAGGGCATGACTCAGTTGGTAGAGCACTTGCCTAGTGTACATGCAGCCCTGGGCTCACACCTGTAATCTCAACACTTGGAGGCTAGAGGCAGGAAAATCTGAAGAGAGCACTTGCCTAGTGTACATGCAGCCCTGGGTTCAGTCCTCAGCATCACATAAGTCAGACATGGTGGCTCACACCTGTAATCTCAACACTTGGAGGCTAGAGGCAGGAAAATCTGAAGTTCAAGGTCAACCGGGGACACACACACACACACACAAAACCACAGAGGTATGGTGTTGCATGCCTATAATTCCAACACTTGGAAAACTGAAGCAGGGAGCTCTCAGATTTGAGGCCAAGCTAGGCTATATAGTGAGGTCAAAGCCACCTGATTTATGCAGAGGAAGACCCTGCCTCATTAATTAAAAAACAGAAAAACAAACAAAAAATTTGATGTCACATGTATACATGTATGAAATGGAGCTCTGAAGACGTACTTTGTTTTCAGTAAACAATCAGAAAAATGCACAGTTCTGACTAACTGACTTGGGAGTGGTAACCTGAAGATAGGTGGCTGGCTTTCACACACTGCTGTCATTATTCAAAAAACACCTGCCTCTGTTCTTTCTGAGTTGACTTCAATGCTCAAGTAAATCCCATAAGAAACAAGTCTCCTTTTATTTGACCAAACAGACTGACCAACTCAGGACTGTTTTCCTCCATCCAAAAGTATAGATTCCCATTAGTTTTCAAGGTTTGTAGCAGATTCTGAAAGTAATGCCAAACAAGGTTCCCATGGCCATCCAGGAGAGTGCAGGCAGTCCTGAGAGTCAGTGTCCTGCGCCCCAGTGGGCACTGGGAAGACCAGAGTCATATGAATGGTGGATTCAAGGACAGCTGTGAGATGGTGTAGCCTGACAAGTTGAGTTCCATCCCTGGGACCCACATGGTGAAAAGAGAGGACTGAGTCTCACAAGTTGTCCTCCAACATGCATGCACATGCATACACCCACCATAAGTAGTAAATAAATAATAAATAAATTTACGGCAGCTGGTACTTTGTGGTAATACTAACTATGGCAACATGGGGGGTATACAAAAAAGGACTAGGGTGGAGCTGGGGATATAGCTTGGGAGAGTGCTTGCCTAGCATATATGAAGCCCCAAGTTCCATCTTCAACACAAAATAAACTGAGTGCAGTAGGTACACTTGTAATCCCAGCACTTGGGAGGTAGAACTCAGAAGGTTTGAGGTTCAAGGTCATCCTCAGCTAAATAGTGAGTTGGAGGCTAGCCTGGACTACATAAGAGTCCTGTAAGTTGTCTTCTGACCTACAAGAAAGAAAGAGAAGGAGGGAGGAAGGGAGGGAAAAAGCAAAAACTTTTTCTCATGCCTGGAGAGACAGTCTAGTAGTTAAGAACACTGGTTGCTCTTGCGGAGGACCTGAGTTTGGTTCCCGCACCCACATGATAGCTAACAACTGCCCTTAACAACAGTTCCAGGGGATCTGATGTCCTCTTCTGGCCTCCACCAGCATTACAAACATGGTACATATACATACATACAGGCATAACACTAATATGCATAAAATAAAAATAAATGAATCAAAAAACTGGTTTTAAAAAGAAAGAATATTTCTCTTCTGATAGCTGAGAATATATCAATGTTAGCCAGAGACTGGTGAGGCTGTAGGGGATGAAGGACTTGTCTTCCCAGCTGCTTGCTTAGATGTGTGGATTTGGGGAATATCAGCAGGTGAACCCAGAGAACTCTGTCTTCCTCCCTCCTCCTTCCTGTCTCCCTCAGCAACCTGGGAGTCTCAGTTCATAGCTTGGTGAACTGCTTGGTACCAAGGCTGGTGAGAGCTGCTCGCTCTCCCTTACTACCATTTTCTTCTCTAGTCATATAATTTTCTGTGTGTCCAGCTCTCAGCAACTCTGCCAGTAGATGGGCCTTATGCCTGAGTGTGGACACTGCAGTATAAGAGGACATGATGTGGACAGCCTCTAGGTCATGGCTTTGAGGCTGAGCATGCTCTTCCCAACCCCCTGGCTGGGATGCAGCTGTGCCCAGGACACCTGCTGGCCCCCAGGGAGAACAGAAAGTCCCTAGAGATGGCTAGCCCACATGGTGGAAGGAGCCTGGACCTGTGTTCCTGTCAAGGAGGCAGCCAGGCCAGCTCTGACTGCATATGCTTATTTCGTGAAAGAGAAACTGTGTCATGTGACTCATCTTGGGGTCACATTTCACAGCTAAACCCAAGGTGACCTGTCCATCATTTCAGGGTTTCTTCCCACTGTCTTCGGACCTGGCCTTTCTCTTGATATTTAGGGGAGTTGTCTTTGGTGGCTTCTAAGTGCCTTTTTGTCTTCAGAAGTGGAAAGGAAGTAGAGAATCAGCTCATGCTGTAGTCCCAACTCAGGAGGCTGAGGCAGAAGGAGTGCCTCCAGCTCCAGGCTAGCCTGGGCTACACAGTGTGAGACTCTGTCTCGAATACCAAAACCCAAGGCTGGCAAGATGGCTCAGTAGTTAAAGGCACTTGCCACCAAGATGATGTCCAGAGTTCAACCCCTGGGACTCACATGGTAGAAGGAGAGAGCTGACTCCCACAAATTGTCCTCTGACTTCCACATGTAAAACACGATACGTACACTCGAACACACACACAAAATTAAACTGTAATTTTTTTTAAGCTCCAGAAAGTACTGGGTATAATCAAACCAGTTTACAGCTCAAGTCTAGGGCTGGGAAATGGTTCAGTGGGTAAAGTCCTTGCCACACAAGTACAAGGACTGAGTTCAGATACGGAGCACCCAAGTAAAAAGTTGCGTGTGGGCCAGGGAGATGGCTCAGCTGACGAAGTCACTCACCAAGTCTGACAAACTGAGTTTAATCCACGTGTTGCACACAGTAGAAAGAGAACCAACTCCACAAGTTGTCCTCTGACTTCTGTGCACACATGCATTTAAGCACACACGCGCGCGCGCGCACACACACACACACACACACGCACACACACAATTTTTTTTTAAACCACAGACTTGTAATCCCAGCACTGGAGAGACAAAGACAGGTGGATTTCTGGGACTTGCTAGCCAGTAAATCTAGCCAAATTGGTGAGCTTCTGGTTCAGTGAGAGACTCTATCTCAAAAAAAAAAAAAAAAAAAGGAGAGTGATAGAGGAAAATATCCATCAACCTCTGGCCTTTATGTTACACACACAGGTGCACATGCACATATTCATATATTATACACACACTCGTGCACAAACACAGCTTAAATCTCTCTGAATCAGCCGGTGTTTACTTGGTGTCTTCCATGTATTTGAACCATTCAGCTATGTGGGACTTCATAAAACATTCCACCTGGTGTAGGATGGGCCGCTACCGAGGGGGGAGGTTAGCCTCAGTTGGAGCTCAGGTTCTTGCTCAGCAGAGGAAGGAGGCACAGGTTGCATGGCTCAGCATTTCTTACAAACGGTCCTCTGAAATTAGTATCTGGTTCTGCCCTGTAGGAACCTTCCAGGACACTAAATAGACCATCTCTCTCCTGTGGAGAGAGGAGACACCCTTAGTTCAGCCTCTTAAATTTTGGGTCCCAGTTGCACAGGCTGGAGGCTAAACAGAGTGGCTGCCTATCCAGGGCTTTTATCTGTGTGTGCCTTCATTCCAGAGACTACAGAACGCTTTTATAACAAAATAGGATGGAATTCAAGAGAGACCAGTGTCCTCCCTCCTGCCTCCACAGCAAGCAGCCAGCCACCTTTGTCGGGATGCTGAGCTGGCCCTCAGCTGGCCCTTCACCATGGGCCAGGGTGTTTGAGAACTGGAAGGAATGTAGGGTCTGGTTCTGAGCTGCACTTGAGTCAGAGCCACTTCACAGCAGCAGGACAGAGTGATGCTCTGAGGCCTAGTGCCCCTCCTCCCCCCTTCACCTCAGCAACTATCAGTTCTTGATTTAACCTCAGGAACCGTCTCAGGCACTGGTTTCTTTGGTTGGTTGGTTTGGTTTTGAGTTTGAGTTTTTGGTTTTGAGACAGGGACTTATAACCCAGGTGGGCCTCTAACTCTTTGTGGCCAAGGATGACCTTAAACTCCTCATCGTCCTGCCTTTACCTTCCCAGTGTGTACCACCACACATGGTTTATGCAGAGCTGGGGGTGGAAGCCAATGCTTCACGCATGCTAAGCAAGAACTCTACCAACTGAACTACATCCTAGCGGGACACTGCCGTTTTACCCTATGTTTTTCTGTACAGACTGGATTCTGTGATTACTGTGATTATAGATTACCTCTTTAAAATGCATCTCAGGGTTGGAGTGATGGCTCAGTGGTTAAGAGCACTGACTCCTCTTGCAGAGGATCCAGGGTTGGTTCCCAGCTCCCGTATGGACGCTAGCAACAGACTCCTTGAATCCCGGTTCAAGGGATCCAACACCTTCGTCTGGCTCTGCAGGCATTGCATGCACATGCTGCACGCACCTTCATCTAGGCAAAATATATTCATAAAATAAAAATTTAAAATTAATTAAAATTTAGCCAGGCTTGGTAGCACACACCTTCAATCCCAGCACTCCAGAGGCAGAGGCAGGCAGATCTCTGTGAGTTCAAGGCCAGCCTGGTCTCCATAGTGAGTTCCTGGTCATTTTTTGACCCTGTCTCAAAAAGACCAAAAAAAGAAAAAGAAGTAGCTGGGAAGTTGCCTCTTAGCAGTGCATGCATGGTATCCCAACACTCAAGATGTCAAGGTAGGAGGATCAGAAGTTCAAGGTCAACCTGTACTAGCATAGACCCTATCTCCAAATCATAAACAAATAAATAAATAGAAGTAGCTTGATTTAGGTATCCCTCCTCTAGGGCTGGCAGCCCAGGAGGTCTCTCCCTAGTCTGACAGGGACATATGCCAGATGGTCACAGCTGAGCCTGGGGTGAGGTAGATGACACTGTACCATCCCTCCTGCTACCTGCCTCCCTTTCTCAGATCACCTTGCTGGGGTTTGCAGGAGCTGGGGACCGAGAGCCAGGGAAGGAAGAGTGATGGCTGAAGGGGTAGTATGCAGACTGGGGCCCTTGCAGGGCAGGCGGCACCCAGAACCTGAGCTGCAGTGACACAGCCTCTTCTCACTGCTGCTCCCTCCTGGCCTCCCTCAGTACTCTACTTACTTGGTTGTGGGCAAGTAAGTCCACACTGGCCTCACACACGCAGGGGCACTTTAGCTCCCTCGTGAGGTCCCTCCTCTCCTCAGCACTCTACCTCTCTGCTTCACAGGGCCTGTGCTTTAACAGCAGTGCGTTTGTCTTGTACCTCTCTGCCGCCATAGTGGATGCATCTTCTGTCTCCCCAGAGAAGGACAGTCACAACTTCAACAGTTGGGCAGCCTCTTCGGTGAGTCCTCCCATCCGCCACTCATGATCCTCCTGCACCTTGGGATCAGGGAGGGGGACAAAGTTACCTGTAGAAAAAAAGCCACTTGCAATAGTGACATTAGGGCAGTTGGCTGACGATGGTCTGCTTTAAGAGGCTGCCACCCTCGGCTTAAGTGACAGCCACAGGGCTAAGCAAGAAAGGTCCTTGAGGGGGCAGCACTATTCAGAATAGTCCCTCTGCCTACATTCAATCAGGTAAGTGGGGAGACTGCAGACAGCAAGCATCCTGTGGTTCTAGTTGGCCTCTTAGAAAGTGGAAAGGTGCCAGGCATGGTGGCATATGCCTTTAATCTCAGCGCTTGGGAGGCAGAGGCAAGCAGATCTCTGTGAGATCTAGGCCAGCCTGGTCTACATAATGAGTTCCAGGACAGCTGGGGCTGCAGGGAGACATTGTCTCAAAAAGAGTCTAAAACCAGCCTAGTCTCTTTGAGACCTATCTCAGAAAAACAAACCAAAATAAAAAATGGCCTGGGGATATAGCTTAGTTGGTAGAGTGTAGCCTAGTGTGGACAGAGCCCCAAGACCACGTAAATCGGATGTGGTAGTGTGCAACTAATCCTAGCACTCAGGAGGTGGAAGCAGGAGGATGAGGAGTGAATTCAAGACCAACTTGAAATACATGAGACCTGAGTGGGGTGGCATCCAGATTTTCCTGCAGTGACTAGCACTGGGGAGTCAGGGGGATGAAATAAGGAACTTTGATATACCTGTACACTGATTATAAAAATTATTCCGAGGGGGCCAGGTGTGGTGGCACACGCCTTTAGTCCCAGCCCTTGGGAGGCGGATCTCTGTGAGTTCGAGGCCAGCCTGGTCTACATAGCAAGTTCCAGATCATCTGGGGCTACAGGGAAACCCTGTCTCAAAAAGACCAAAAAAAAAAAATTTACTCTGAGGGAGACTGGAGAGATGGCTCTAAGCTTAAGAGCACTGGTTGCTTTTGCAAAGGGCCTGAGTTCAGGACCTAGTACCCACAAGCAGCTAACAACCATCTGTAATTCCAGTTCTAGGTGATCTGACACCCTCTTTTGGTCTCCAAGGGCATTGCACACATGGTTGCACTTAAACACCTATGGGCAAACATTCATACACATAAAATAAAAATAAATTTTAAAATTTACGCTGAGAGTCAGGAAGTGACCCAGCAGGTGAAGGCACTGGCTGCTAAGCCTGGGGACCTGAATTTGGAGAGACACACATGGTAAAAGCAGAAAACTGACTTCTGCAGCTTGTCCTTTGACGTCCGCATGTGCCACACATAACAATAGATTCATGGATAAATGGACGTAATAACTTTTTATTTCTCAAGATTAACCTTAAAATAGCCCGACCCCCAGAAGAAGCTACAGGGAAGGAGGTATTTAGACAGGAACACAGGACCATACCATTAAATGATGGCACAGGGCATTTCATCAACTCATTTACTTTTATGTAGACTTTCAAATTTCTATCAATAAAAGCAGGGGCTGGAGAGATGACTCAGGGGTTAAGAGCACTGACTGCTCTTGTAGAGAACTCGGGTTTGGTCCTCAGCATCCTCATGGTGGCTAACAACCATCCATAAGTCCAGTTCTAGGGGATCCGATGCCTTCTTCAGGCATTACACATACACATACACATGCAGGCAAAACACTCATACGCATAAAAAAATAATTAATTAAAAAAATCATTTTTTAAAATTATATAACAAATTAAATAAAAGCAGATTCACAGGCTGGACTCAGGTTAACATGCAGCAAGAATGGGCCAGAACTGGGCAATGACTGTTCTTGAAAGAAGGACCTGAGTTTCCCTACAGAAAATGAGGCCCAAGAGCCAGCTGAGGGGTGATGGCTGAAGGGGCAGTGGGCAGTGGAGCCTCACAGGGCAGGGAGACTCCTGAGCTACAGTGAGCCTCTTTCTTTCCACTTGCAGCTGTCTTGGGCTGGCCCTCCCCCAGCTGCCCACCGAGATGCACATGCACACACACACCATCTGGGTTGTCACTTGCAGAACCCGGCTCACCTCATTTTCTTGAGCTGACCATAGGTACTGGAGGTTGAGCCCTGTCTAAGGTCACCTGCACTAAATTAGAAGCACAATAGTCACCGTCTTCACCCCTGAGTGAACTCCCTGAAGTTAGGCTTCTCAGATCTGTTCATTCAGAAGAAGGTAGGGCTCTGCAAATAAAGGTGCTTGCCAAACATCCTGAGCTCGAACCCCAGGATCCACACGGCAGAAGGTGACAACTAACTCCTGAAAGTTGTTCTGTGACCTCCACACACACATAAACTAATGATAATAACAATAAAATAGAAATCAAAAAAGCAAAGCAAAGGAGGGTAATTAAACCACTAAGTTAGTTTAGATGAGGAAGCCTGGAGTCCAGCAACTGATGCAGTGGAAGGGGACTGATAACTTGCTAATTGGGATGTGCCCTGAACCCATTTCTGTCATGCTTCTTCCCTGAAGTTCTTCGCCTTCCTGGTCACCATCTGCTACGCTGGAAACACATACTTCAGTTTCATAGCCTGGCGATCCAGGACCACACAGTGACTTCGACCCATTCCATCATTGGAAAGAAAAAAAAACGAGAATCCCACTGTACAAAAAAAGTTGTAGGTATAATGTATATTTCCACAGAATTGTATTTAACTAATGTTTTTATATCTTAGTTAAATTTGCTCGTAGTGGCTTATTACAATTAAACTGGACACTTATTTGAAAAGTGCTGTAGCTTAGAGTGAATTCTGAAGTATCTTGATGTCTTCATAGACTTTATTTTCTTATACAGTGTATAAATAAATTGCTAAATGTTAAGAATGTGTCAAGTGTGTAAAGCTAACTTTAAAAAACTATTTATTCTTATTATTTTATTTATGTGTATGTGTGTCTGTGTGCATGAATGCCTGATGTGTTTGGGTACCCACAGAAGCTAAAAGAGGATCCCAGATTCCTTGAAGCTGGTGTTACAGATGGTTGTGAGGCACCTGAAATGGATGCTGGACACCAAACTCCATCCTCTGGAAGAGCACTAAGCTCTCTTAACTGCTGAGCCATCTCTCCAGCCCCTGCCTGTTTGCTTTGTTTTCTTTCAGAAATCTGTCTACCTGTGCCTCCTTAGTGCTGAGACTTAGAGGTATACCCCACTATACCCAGGAAAACTAACTTTTTAAATTGTATTACATTTTTATTTAGTATGAGTCTGTGCGCGTGTGCGTGTGTGTGTGTGTGTGTGTGTGTGTGTGTGTGTGTGTCTGCCTGTGTGTACACATGAATATATCCATGCCAGGATGCATATATGGAGATCACAGGACAGCTAGCAGGAATCGGTTCTCTCCTTCCACCATGTGGATCCCGAGGATTGAATTCAGGTCTTCAGGCTTGGCAGCAGAAGCTTTTACTGCTGAGGCATTTCACTGGCCCAAAGCTAACTTCTTTCTTTTTTTATATATTATTTTATTTGAGTATTTTGCCTATATGTATGTACATGCACCCATGTTGTGCAATTCCCAAGGAGGCCAGAAGAGGGCATCAGAACTGGTGTTAAGGATGTTTGTTAGTTGCCATGTAGGTGCTGGGAACAGAACCTGGGTCCTCTGAAAGAGCAACCAGTGTCTTTACCACTGAGCCATCTTTCCAGCCCCTTAACTGGACAGGGTCTCCCCATAACCCCAGTTGACCTGGAACTCAATGTATAGACCAGGTTGGCCTTGATCTCACAGAGATTCTCCTGGCTCTGCCTCCCCAGTGCTGGAATTACAAGTGAGCAGCTTTATGTATATGTGTGTATGTCTGAGTAGGGGTATGCCATATGTGTGTAAGTACCTGAGGAAGCCTAAAGATGGTGTTAGATCCCCAGCTGTAGTCTGCCAATGTGGGTGTTGGGAACTAAACTCAGGTCCTATGCAAAAGTGGTATGTATGTGCTCTTAACCTCTGAGTCATCTCTCTGACTCAAAACTCTTTTTCTTTCCTCTTTCTTTCTTTCTTTCTTTCTTTCTTTCTTTCTTTCTTTCTTTCTTTCTTTCTTTCTTTTTTTTTATTTTTTATGAGACAGGGTCTCACTATGTAGCCCAGGCTGTCCTCAAACTCACAGAGGTCTGCCTGCCTTGTGCCTTTTAAGTGTTGGGGTTAAAGACTTAGAGACATAGGCTGCCAAGCCCAGCCCCGCCAAATAATTTTTAAGATACTAGATTCGTTGGTGATTAAATGTTGCAAAATCCCAGCTTGTGTATCTGATTGAGGAAGGGACAGAACCTGGTGCTAAGAGAGCTCCCCCCTCCCAACGTTGCCCATGGTGACTGAGTTTGTCAGGAAGCACTTGTGCTTGCTCAACAGGGCAGGGTGGTGCTTGCTCACCAGGGCAGGGTGGCAAAGATCCATCTCTTCAGATCTGGGGACTACACTGCCCATGACTTATATCCCAACCCATAACCCAGAAAGCGTTGGATGAAGTATGGCCTTGCCATTGTTAATGAGCTCCTGCTAAGTGACTGCCAGAACAGGGACCTGTTTTCTTCTAAAACATGTCAAAATAAATACATAAGCCATTAAAGTATCCACAGAGACAGACACTTTAAAATCACCTATGAGGACTGGAAAGAAATAGCTCAGTTAGTAAGTGCTTACTTTACAAGCATGAGGACTTGGCTTTGATCTCCAGAACCTACATTTATGGTTTTTTCGGATGGTTGGTTGGTTTGGTGTTTTGTTTTTGTTTTGAGGGGCTTTTTGAGACAGGGTCTCCCTGTAGCCCCAGATGGCCTGGAACTCACCATGTAGACCAGGCTGGCCTCGATCTCACAGAGATCTGCCTGCCTCTGCCTCCCAAGTGTTGGAATTAAAGGCATGTGCCATCATGCCCAGCTCCATAACCTACATTTTTTTAAAAAAGGTTGAAGATGTGGGTCCATTGGTAGAGTGCTTGTCGTGCATGCACAAAGCCCTAACGCAATCCCTAGCACAACCTAAACCAGGAGTAGTAGCATATACCTGTAATCCTAGAACTTGGAATATGGAAACAGGAGGATGAGGAGTTCAAGATCATCCTTGGCTACACAGTGAGTTTGAGGTTTGCCTGGGGCTCCGGTCAAACCCTGCCTCCAAAAAAAATGTCAGGCCTGGTGCCTGGTGGTACACTTGTAATTCCTGCACTGGGGAGGCAGAGACAGGTTCCACCCTGGAGCTAACTAACTAGTGAACCCGGCCTACTTGTCCAGTCCCAGGCCAGTGAGAGACTGTCTCCAAAGAAAAAAAAAAGGTGGATGGCATTTGAGGGACCATGGCCCATACACACACACACACACACACACACACACACACACACACACACACAGAGAGAGCAGTAAATTATCTTCTGTCCACAAAGACATATATGAATTTTTGTGGGAACTTCTAGACCAAAATATCGCTATCTCAGATGTTATCAGGCACTGGGAAGTACTCGATGAGCCAGGCAGATGTGCAGGAGAGGAAGTATCTTTAGGCGGGACGGTTCCTGTTGCTACAGCAAGTATCTTGGGTGGCTTTTCATCATGAGCTTTTGAAAAACAAGAAAACCACAGAACCGTTAGTGGAATTGCTGTCATGCACAGGACTGGAGCCCGGCACTCTCGGTATGATGTCCCATGGGCCCCCAAGGCTTCTTGTGGTCTCTTGTTCAATGCTATTTCTTTCATTTGTGTGTTGTATCTTGTTCTAGTTCCTTCTCTAAACTCTGTTTCCCCCCCATCTAATAAAATCAAATTTCTTCTTCTTTTTTTTTAATTTCTATTTTTATGTGTACGAGTGTTTTGCCTGAATGTATGTAAGTGAACCATGTGTGTGCAATCCTCACAGAGACCAGAATCAGGGTCAGATCCCCTGGAACTGGAGTTAGTTACTAAGTGGGTGCTGGGAACTGAACCCGGGTCATCTCCAAGTGCAACTCTTAATGGCTGAGCCATCTCTCCAGTCCCTGAAAATTGAATTTCTATCATGTCTAATCACCACCATCCCAGACCTTTGAAAGACCCAATGAAGGATGTTCCTGGGGACTGGAAACATGGTGCAGTTGGTATAGCACTTGTTTAGTAACCACAAGTCCCTGGGTTCTGTCTCTAGCACCTATGAAATTGACAATGGTGGTGCATGCCTATAATTCCAGCACTTAGGAGAAGGAAGCAGGAGGACCAGGAGTGCTAGATCTTGTCTCAAAAAACAAACAGAAACAAAAACTTTATAACCAGGAACTGGCCTGGATTTGTTCCTCAGACTCCTAGGCTAGATGACAGGGGAGTCCCAACAGAGAAGGTCTAACCATTCACACCAAAAATCAGTGGAAAAAGTAATTGTTGAGCAGATGTGCATGGTACACATCTGTCTCAGCACTTAGGAGGTGGAAGCAAGAGACTCAGGAATTCAAGGCCAGCCTCAATTATATAGCAAGTTCCAGACTAGCCTGGGACTCGAGGAAAAACAAAATCTTGGGTTATAGATGAAGCTTAAAGCCATGTTGCATATTGTGGATGATGCTTGAAAAATGAGAGACAGGAGCTGGGAAAATAGCTTAGATTTTCCACAGAAGCCTGAGGACCTGAGTCCCATTCCTAGAACCCACATAAAAAAAGCCAGGGGCTTGGTGAGATGGTTCAGTAGGTAAAGTGCTTGCTGCACAAGCGTGAGGCTTGGAGTTTGGATCCCCAGCACCCATGTAAATGCTAGGCAGGCATGACTGCCTGCCTATAATCCCAGCACTCAGGATCTAGAGGCAGTATCCCCAGGGAAACTAGCTAGGTAGACCAGCTGAATTGGTGAGCTCTGGGTGCAGGTGAGAGATGGGGTTAGGGAGTTCCCTGAGGCTCATTGGCAAGACAATGAGAGACCCTGTCTTAAAAATCAAGGTGGACCATACCAGAGGAACAGTATCCAAAGTTGACCTCTGGCCTCCACACCCATGTGTACATATGCATACACACACACACACACATACACACAAACACACACACTGAGAGGTGGGGATGGGGCTCAGATATATAGGAGTGGGACACAGGGCCACCCTGAGCCAACAGTTAGCCATCCATAAGAGGCTGAGTGTTGTCACCAGAGCAAAAGGAAGATATGTGCACACAAAGGATCATTTGGAAGCTTACTCCATGGTCTCCTGGGACAGCTTGCCACTCTGATTTTGAGGTGTTTTTGTTGTTGTTGTTTGGAGTTTTTTTGTACTTTATATTGCAATCAAGGCACCATAAAGAGCAAAGAAACAGGCCTAAAAAGGCGTTCCTGGAAGTAGCCCCAAGGAGCTTCTTTGTGTGCTGTGGGAGGACAGGACGTAGCTTGTGGGGTGAAGGTGCCGTATAGTCTCAGGTCTTCTTGACTATAAGTCCTAAAGGTCTGCATGAACAACATATGACCTTCTGCCTTTGTGGGTTTTCAGAAGCAGGTTCATGTGCTTCCCTGAGAGCTCACCAAAACAACAGACATCTATTTCCAACCAAAGGGAAATCATTATTTTCCTTCTTTGGGATGCCGAGAGACCTTATTGGTGAATGATTTCTAGGTTTGCAATTTTAGATAGCAATATATTCTCAAACGTTGGTTGAAACTGTACATTTGAACTGTGTGTTTGCTTTCTTTTCTTTCTCATTAAAAAAGTAAGAGAAATAAAAGATAGCTGAGCATGGTGCTGCAAACCTGTGATTCCAGCAGTTGGGAGGCAGAGTCAAGTTTGAGGCCAGCCTGGTCTATACAGTGATGCCAAGCCAGCCAGGACTACATAGTGAGATCTATTTGAAAAGAAAAAGGGAAATAGGGGAGGGGAACAAACAAAACAAAGTATAATGACACGTACA